TCCTGCAGTTAGGGTTGGGCAATATGGCAATATAATTATCATGATAAATTATATGACAATATATCACAATATGCTTTCCTGAGCATATCATGGTTCTAGACACCAAATAACTGCATGTTTCGTTAAAATAAGAACTTAATCAGCCATGTTCACTTTGATTTAGTGCAGTGCAGTATGTAGAATATTTGATAGAAATCATACAAATTACATTTTTAAAATGAGGCACACAGAAAAAAGAAATATTGTGACACATCGTGTATCGTGAAATTTCCTGTAGTATTGATACTGTATCTTTGCCATATCGCCCAGCTCTACCTGCAGTGCACACTCACTTCATTTATTACGCTAACTTGTTAGCATGATGCTTTAGCTGTGTCACAAACACATTATGTAGCTAGCATCACCAGTAAGTACTGTTTTTCTATTAGTTAGCTAACTCAAGCTAAGCCCTAATATGACCAGCTACTTTGGCCTCATTCGCCTGTCACTTTGTCAGTTTTGCTAGCTGTGCAGAGGCCTGACTTACAGACAAGCCAGATAATTGAAGGTTTTCTATCTAGCTAATTTTGGAACCTTCAACACAGCCATTAATGTTGCCAGCGCTGATGCTAGCTAAACAATTTTGAATTGCACTGAATCAACTTTTCTATTTTTCTGAAGGAGCCATGTTTCCTCCACTTTTCCGTAGCTGGTGACTATGGCTATAACGTCACTTGCTAGCACCAAACAAGTCTAGCTAGCAGGCAAACTGCTAATGTTAAAGGCTGTGATGAAGGTTCAGAAATTAGCTAGTTAGCTAGATAGAAAACCTTCTATTATCTAGCATATTTGTAAAGCAGACCTAGCAAAATAAATAAAGTGATTAGCAAGTGAAGCTATAGGGATGGATAGTGTCTAGATGACTGTAGTGGGTCAGTATGGACAAACGTTCACGGCCAATTTTTGATCACTGCCTTGCTTCCACTCTGAGTGCAATGAAATAAATGGTAAGTCTTTATTTAAAGGCTACCTACATAGGGGCTTCATAACACATGCATAAGCAATAAACAGAAATAGCACTGAATAATTTTGTATTTTGTGTTCTATGTCAGTATTTATGAACATCTTATGTCAGTATTTAAGTTGCTTCTACACAAAGTAAATGGCATTGTATTGACATAAGGGCCCTTGAACTAGTTTATTTTCCATTTATAACGCTGCTAAGACGTATTATTATCATGTAATGGACCCTATAGGGCAGAGGCCTGAGAAAAAGGACATAGTTTGGCCAAAAATGAAATTTCTCACATACCCTTGATGTAGCTGGTCAGCCAAGACAGTAAAGACCTTGATCAAAAGAAGTTTCAGTGATGTATTTCTACAGAAATGATTTGGGCTATTTGGGTGACTATTGAGTTGTAGTTTAGCTACGTTAGCAACGTTAGCCTTGCCGCTCCAGTTCTAAACCAAAGAAGCAAAATGTGATCAACTACATCTGGGGGAAGTGGAAGAATGTGTAAATGTGATTTTTTAATGTAGAAAAACACAAAAATGATCAACCTATTTATCAATTTGCACTGACATACGGCATTCGTCACTAGACCACTGGCCTATTACCCTGGAGAGATGCATCATAATAGTGTTATGAATGGAAAAATTGTCCATCACTTTAGTTTATGTTCCATCATGTCAAAATAATTTTAAAAAATTATGCAAATACTGACATAAGCAGTTCATAAATGCTCAAGTCTTGCTTTTAGATTATGTTACTCAATGCTGATGTGTTATGAAGTCCCTGTGAAAGGTGGATTTTAAATAGTGCTACCAAATAAACAGCCATTGTGTGAATAAGGAGAATTACAGGAGGCTGAAGCAGGCTGACAGCACAGAGAACATCAAATCAACATTAACACTGATTAGTATAATCCAGTGTTCGCACAGACAGGCCGTTTGAACAGAGAACGCGCCACTCGGAGGTGGACAGCGGTCGTACAGGTGCCAGCTAACTGCAGGAACAGGCGTCACAGTATCAGTATAGTAGGTAAACTATTGCTCAGGTTTGTGCTGATAAACTCTCACTCCTCTAACTTTACCACACCTGTGTCTTCTCTCAGTCGTGGGGGCTGCGCTGGAGCAGGAGACTGAGCTAGTGAGTGTTCCAGTGTAATACTTCATGCTAGAATGCATGGAGATGTCTAAATACAAGCACTGTGCAAAAGTCAGAGACCATCTTCCTTTATTTAATTCATTTAAACAATAATACGTCATTCAGACTGGTTTGGTATGAAATGGTTCAGATGTCTTTACAGCTTTTAGAGGTGGACGTCTGGTTCCTATCACCACCACTGTGAACAATTCTGACTTGATTTCTCTAGAATGGAGCGTTTCACACCAAACCTCTCTGACTTTGTTTACATCTCAACCACTTATTTATGCAGAGATTTTGAAAAAAAAACAATGCAATTCCCTTTTAACAAACACAATGAAGTTATAATAATATGAATCAAATCTCAAGGTAGATTAATTAAGTATTATTGTTAGTCTGGGCACAGAAACTGACCTTAGAGCTTCATACAGTTTTAGAACCTTTAGATGTGTCCAAAAAGATGAATGGAGCTGGTTTAAACTGCCAAAAAATTTCTCTAGAATGGAACGTTTCACACCAAACCACTCTGAACGACTTTGTTTACATCTTAACCACTTAATTAAAAGGAACTGATTAAAAGTTACAGAGGAAAAAAAATGGGACTCTAACAATCACCTGGAAGACCTGGTAGACCAAAACTGTCCCTATCAGATAAACAGCACTGAAAGCTTTCATCTCTGAGAGAGAGGAGAAAATCAAGCTGCTTCAGATCTGAAAACATCCACAGGATTACTTGGATGGCAAGAAGCACAAAATGCTAAACCAGCTTCTAAGACTGAACTTTGGAGGTGTGGAAAATTATCTTTCAAAGATTTCTTTAAAAGCTGAAGGCGCGTGTTCCAAAAGGAACGAAAGCTGTAATGAAGCTAAAGTGTGGGCACAAATACTGAAAAATAAAGTGAATAACAATATTTAATGGTTGTTTTGACTGGAAAATAAATGAATGTATAAATGGTCTCTGACTCTTGCACAGTACTGTATATATGGAACATACATGAAACCAGGTGGGACATATAACTCTGTACATATCTGTATTATTAGATATCACATCTGAAAGAGGTCCCCCCCCCAAACTTACAAATACTTTTCATGCTCCATATCATCTAACTCATAATAAAAATATGGTTATCCATTTTTCCTCTCAGCGTGAGCCATATATTCTATTCTTTTTGTTCATCGCAAATATACTGCAGAGCATAAAGAAGAAAAAGAAACGCAACAGATCAGTCAGAATTATTAATAAACTCATTTAGACAACAAAACAAAAAGATTATTGTTATAAATAATTAATGCATTTTCTTTGTATGACACCACATTCGGTTTAATGGACATGAACTGTAACGCTGACTTTGAATGCATAGTAGCTAAAGTGGACCAAACACGTATTACATGAAGCCAACACTTAATGTAACTTAAACAATTACAGTATATAGTGTTGAGAACAGGGCAAAAAAAAGCAAAACAAACTCCACAGTGTCGCTTTCACATGGACTCGACGTCTTCCGAACACAGATCATCTAAAAAATCTAACGCGTGGTGATTTATTTATACAATATGACGATGACCTACTCTGAAAAAGAACCCTTTTTCTTGTTTACATGTGTCTAGCTACCGTGCAGATCCAAGCTGAATGTGGACTATATGATCAGACCCTTTATTTAATCGCTTTTCTAAAACTATCACAAGTGAAAATGCAAATAGCAGCCTAGATAGCTAAAGTATGTAGCGTGTGGTTAATTACTGAATGGCTGGACCAGGAGGGACAAATTCTCCATATAAGGCCAATAGTCGGACATCTTTCTCAACACGCAGATCGGCAGGACACGTATGAAATAAACAGCAGATCTCAAAAAGCATGCTGTTTTTGGCTACGTCTGTAGAGGTTAGTATTTACAGAAACTTTACAGTTCTTAGAGAGCCAGGCCACGCCTTCCTGAGCACCGGACCGAAGCAGTGCGAACGAGCTAGTCAACCAATTCAGGTGTTAATGTCTATTAGGATTCCAGGTTCGACAACAGTTTTGGGAAGTTTGCTCCTGTAGTTTCAAATTCAACTCCACATATAACACATTTCAAAGGACATTCATTTATTGGATCGTGAGAAGCAGAAAATGCAACCAGCTTCTACGACTGAGCTTTCAGAGTTCTGAAAAACACCCCTGCAGATTTCTTTCTGAAATAAAGGAAAATTTTACATTTTGGATTTTTGATTTTTTTTATTTCTTTTACATATTCATATATATATATATATATATATATGTGTGTGTGTGTGTGTGTGTGTTTGTGTAATTTTTATATATATAAATTCAAAAATTCAAAATATATCTAGTAGAAATTTTCAGGACATAATGCTGCTAATGCTTACTGCCACAGATATAATTAATTTATTAATTAACCATGTTAGAGGAGTCATCTCAATGGCATTAAAATTGTCCCAAAAGATAACTGGGGAAAAATCCACCATATACAAAGTTCATAAGCATTTTCCATCAATAAATGCAACTGTTTAAACCACTTATTTAATAACATGTATGGCTTGTTTGTTTAGGTCAAGACTTGATCTCTTTTTTTTTTAATTCATCCACAATTCCTCATAATTCCAAAGGGTGCACAAACTTTTTCTCACAACTGTGCTCTGAACAATTTACCAAAACCAAAGTCTGGTGTATGAATCTCATATTTTGCATGTTCTTACAGTGATCTGGAGCTTAACTGGCCAATAGAAAGTGACCATACTGGTTAGCTGAGTGTGCTAATAAAAAACTGGCTAGCATAGCGTGGCTTATTTGCGCGCAGGCCAGTGAAAAGTGGCTGTTAAGACTTTGCAGAGTGCGGGAAAGTGATTTACTCAATACTCAGGAAAAGACAGTGGCGAGGCTCTGTGCGACAACGCTGGCGATGCTAATGTTAGCATAAGAGCGAAGCAGGTTCAGGGTGACCATGCTAGCAGCTAATTTACAAAGCTGAAGGTTAAACGAGGGGACGTGGGGACATGGGGACGGGCCGACCGAGAGACAGAGTTTAACCATTCTGTTCATCTCCGGTATGTGTGGCTAATGGTGGGTTAGCAGGAGCCTCACCGTTGCACCGTGATGAAGAATTAGCTTCGGCCTGTTCAGCGGCTAAACCAGGCTGAGCTGGCTCGGCTGGTGGGTGTGGTGTAGCTGCTGCTGCTGCTTGAGCTTCTGCACTAGCGGCCTCCGGAGCAGCAGGGGGCGCTGAACCAGCGGTGTTGTTTTCTGGTGCTGTAGCATTGGCAGGAGCTGTGGAGGCCTCAGTTGGAGCCTGGGGATTTTCCTGGGATCCTCCCGCAGGGTTTGGGGCTCCTGCACCGGCCGCAGCCGCTGGGTCGGTGTGCTGGTGCTCGGGAGCTCGCAGCCTCTTCATGATGGTCGTGACTCGCACAGCTTTCTGTAGAATAGAAAGCATCTGAGCACAAAGACGATAGAGCGAATATCACACAGAACACTCTCTCTACCAGTTAACACCAACATGCTTTTGGGAAACTGGGCCCAGTTTGGGGAGATAACTCCAAATGATCTGCTATTATGGAGCATTCACTGTATCAGAGACGTTAGAAAGGAGCTGGGAAAGCTTGTAACGCTCAACATGCTGTCTGTTTATGGAAAGAGTCCTGACCTTCAATAAAAAGAGCCAATCAGCTTGCTGGTTACACCACTAGCAGGAAAAGCCAACCTACTTGAGTTGTGGAGATCCGCACAAATGCAGGAGCCAGAACTGAATTAATGAGCTAAATGCTACAAAGTATTTAGAAGGTTTATGTCAGATTTTACTTACTATTTCAAAAATGTTTTTGAAACGATAATTTGGCCATCAGTTTTGAGTATTTTGGTCTCTCCCCATTCAAACAGACAGGAGCCTGGTCTTGTATGGCTGGAAATAACTGCCCAGTGGTGCTGCAAAGATGGCCATTGAGTAAACAGTCTTTCCTATAAGGACTTTGACTGCATCTTGTGGCAGATGGTGGAAGGAAAAGTAGCTCCTATCCTACAGATTTATTTGCATTGATCATTATTTAACTTTTTAACAGTTTAATAATACTGATGTATATTCAAATTATCGATACTACAGAAGTACAAGATTTCAGTATCGATCCACCCATCTCTACTTCACTTTCATTACAGTGTCTTCCTTGGTATGAAGAGCAGGATTTACCAAAATAATGAGTCGACTGTTTTCCAAACTTTTGGTAAAAGCACACTCTGAAATGGGCCATATGGCAAAAAATCACGATACTTTATAGACATTACAATGTTTAGGTTTTCTGAGGTTTGATCAAGTGGAACAGACAAAAAAAACCCCTAAAAACAGAAGTGCAACATTTAAAAAGTGCTACTAAAACCTAGGAATAGATTCATTTTTATTCAGTATTTCACATACTGCACTGAGAATCCAAATACACTGGACTGTGCTCTCTTTGCAATGAAATTCCAGTTGACCAGTGCTCTTTTAGCACTGATGATATCCACAATAAGCTCAATAACACATCGTTCACAATACTGATTAATACTGTCATATCGCTCACCCCAATATTCAAACGGTTTTGGCCCAAAAGTGATTCAAACACCTCAAAGTTTTGAGTGCTGACCTCACAGCAAGGCCATGAAAGGGATGGCCATTTTTCCAGCTTAAATGACTAAACAACTCTAGTTGATAAATCTCAAGTTTACTACTACAAAAAAAAGTCAGCAAAAGAGGTGCTAGATAAATAACGTCCTTGCCGTAATCCATTTCCTTCAGAAAAGGAAAGAATGTATTCCCCAAATGTTCTGGCTGATGAATAAATTCTGAGCACGCAGTGATAAAAGTAGAGGACAAACCCAACTAGTCTATGACGGATGAAGAAAGTCATTTCCAATATAATTATTACCTTCCACTTCGCTTTTGCAAAATTCTTCTCTATCTGTGCGCACACGTTTTCCTTGATGTTCTTATCTGAGGCGGCGTTTCCAGATATCCTACGGAGGAAAAGGAAAACTCAGATAAGGCTCACAAAACTTTAGAGCATATTACTTACCTGCAGCCAAAAACACACACATCAGCAAAATGTGCTGAAAAGCGAATAAAATGTCAGTACCATTCGTGGTTGATGGCCTCCTGCGCTGTAAGCCTCTGATCTTGGTCAACTTCCATGAGGCGGGACACTAAACTTTTGGCTGTAAACGAAGAAAGATAAAATACACTGAAAAAAAGAGCAAAAGCCATTACAGACAAAGACTTTATATGCCTTAAGCCCAGCTGGATGAGTTTTACCTGAGGAGGTAAAGAAATTTAATCGAGAAGCAATTTTAATCCAGTATGAATCTGCAGTGTGTAGTTTTACAGTCTGACAGTAATAATTGTGGAGTGATTTTAATCCAGTATGAATCTGCAGTGTGTAGTTTTACAGTCTGACAGTAATAATTGTGGAGTGATTTTAATCCAGTATGAATCTGCAGTGTGTGTAGTTTTACAGTCTGACAGTAATGATTGCGGAGCGATTTTAATCCAGTATGAATCTGCAGTGTGTGTAGTTTTACAGTCTGACAGTAATAATTGCGGAGCGATTTTAATCCAGTATGAATCTGCAGTGTGTGTAGTTTTACAGTCTGACAGTAATAATTATGGAGTGATATTAATCCAGTATGAATCTGCAGTGTGTGTAGTTTTACAGTCTGACAGTAATAATTGTGGAGTGTTTTTTAATGTTAAAGCTTAAGATTAAAAGCTTAAGGCTCTAGAAAAACTTTCCAACAGTGAATAACAATAATAATCTAAATAAACTTTGATAGACACACAGTATATTAACGCCACCTGAGTCTGAGATATCGTCCCAGTACGGTGAATCAAACTCATAGTCTCCTGCCAGAATTTTGCGAAACAGGTTCTTGTCATGGTTTTCGTAATCATCATCATCCGCCTCATCATAGAACGGTGGGTTCCCAGAAAGTCTGTGAGCAAAACAGTGTGTGTTAAAAGGCAAGAATGACTAAAAATGTCTGCAATATAGTGGACAAACATAAGCCTGACCTTATAATGCTTTTGTTTATTAACCTTTCTAGCTTGTGTTCATCACTCTTTAAGAAAGTCTTTAAGAATATATTCTGCAGGCACTTGTATCCAAGGCACTTGACCATATTCTGGTGTTCCCCATAGTTTTGTGGCTGCTGGATGAATGTGCGAAATCAAACCAAGAGCATCTCTTCCAACGTTATTCAGTAGGAATGGGAGTTAAAATTTTAAAATCTACTTTACTGGCCTCATGTTTTGTGGTTATTGGACAGATAAGCATTACCAGGGCTGCTCTTGTGTAACCACTGGCTAGAGCTGTGCTTCTGGAGGTCGACCATCCAGCAGAGTTTGTTTCTAAACTTACTCTAAAGCACCTGCTAATCTAAAACATCTGACAACCAGACAAGATGTGTCTGATTAGGGCTGTAAGTAAAGTAGACACCCGGGAGAGACAAAGTTGAACAGGAGTTGTACAGTAATCTTTTAGGAGCCTGACTACAAGAAGGGTTATGTAATCATTGGCTCACATTCACAGGAACATTTTGGTGTCCATCAAAAATGCACCTCTGGTCACTGATTTCAATGAGAGCAACATGTAGATAACAGACACCAGTGCGCGCACACACACACACACACACACACACACACACACACACACACACACACATACTTTTTTATAACGTTTGTACAGCATATTTAAGAAACATTAAGCTTCAACCCCAGAAGTCCATACTAACTCCTACCACTCTCCGACCCCCCAGCCCATTGTTTTCCCCATGGTTACCCAAATAAAAGGATTATGTTATCAGCACAGGCCAGTGGAATATTGTGTTTGCTTGAAAATAAATCGTAGAATCTTAACAGACTAGTCCAGGAGTCGGCAACATGTGGCTCCGGAGCTGCATGCGGCTCTTTTACTGCCCTGTTGCGGCTCCACAGCAGAATCAGATTTGTAGGTAAAAATGAAATAATCCTCCTTTACAGTAAAATAAAGCTCTGCTGATCGTTCAACACAGTTGAACAATAAATGGTCTTAAACTCTGGAGTTAATGCAGAACTGCTAAATCACCCTTTAATCCTGTTGACTGGCACGCAGACTGCTGGTCACCATAGCAATGCAGACAATAGTCTCGCCAAGCTAGTAGCTAACGAAACGGCAAAGAGAGAGATTTAAGATGAACATCGATAATTTGGAGATTAATGGGCTCATTTGCATTTATAATCACTCCAGCTGGTTTCCTGATACGTTTAATCTGCAACAAGAGAAAAAAGTGACTAAATGTCAGCTTCTCATTTGAATTTTCCCGTTCCACCTTAAATGGTGCAGCAGTTACATACTCATTTAAGGTGGAACGGGAAAATTCGAACAAGACTTCAGCTTCATATAAAGTTGAATGTAAGAATCATTTTACAAGAAACCGTTCTACTTTTGAGGACAAGTTTCCTGCCGGAGATGCGAGAAAAGCAGCTATAGCTGAGATAAAGCTTAAACAGAGCAAAGTAAGTCTGTGTTTTTGTTTATATTTTTAGTCTATACTAGTACATCAGCACACACTGAGACAGATTTACAGCCAAGATGGTAAAATGGATATGAAATGTTGTGGCTCCCAAAGTGATTTGGTATTTGTTGAAAGGACAAAATGGCTCTTCTTAACATTTGGGTTGCCGACCTCTGACCTAGTCCAAATAGCACTGCAGAACAAACACGTTTTTTTTTTTTATGGAAAATTTTAATGTATGTGGCTTTAAATAGGTGCATTACAAGATGGGGGTTCTTGAAGTTGTGGATCAGGTGACGGTAAAATGAACACTCACAGTATGTACATGATCACTCCGATCGCCCAGCAGTCCACAGGACGGCCGTATCTCTGTCTACCAACAACTTCTGGAGCTAAAGGGAGATGAAAGAGGTTCAACTTAAGAAATGATCATCATCAACTTACCATCAACCCTGGTCCTGGAGATCTGCCTACCTGCAAAGTCTGGTTCCAATCACAGTCTGCCACACCTGCTTCAGCTAATTGGCTAATTGGCTAATTGCTTTTGATTGGCTGGATCAGATGCATTAGGGTTAGGTAGAGGTGTTGGGCCATAGATATACATAGATGCTGCATTACAAACACAGTACAATCACAAAATGGCACTATTTCAAGAGCGTTGCACTCAGAAAGTGGGACAGCCAGCAATTGGCATTCATGCTTGTGTGATGTTTATGCACAGATATAATCATGTGGTTGGTGAAGCACAGAGAGCTTGTTGGTGTGACTGGTTTTCCTCTGGATTTGTATTAAGCTTTTTTCATTTTATACACACTATATGGACAAAAGTATTGGGACACACCTCTTAATCACTGATTTCAGGTGATTCATGCAGTCTCATTGCCACAGAGGTATAAAATCAAGCACCTAGCCATGCAGTCAGCCTTTATAAACATCTGTGAAAGAGTGGGTCAGTCTAAAAAGCTCACTAAAGTTGAGAGTGGTGCTGTAAGAGGATGCCGCTGTTGCAACAAGTCAGTCTGCAAAATTTCTTCTCTCCTAGATGTTCTACAACTAACTGTGAGTGGTAGTATTGGAAAGTGGATGTGTTTATAAGCCACAGCAACTCTGTGTCAGACCATGTAAAGTTACAGAGCGGGTCGCCAGTGCTGAGGCACACAGTGCATAAAAGACGCTCTGCTGACTCAATAACTGCAGAGTTCAGACCTCCTCTGGCATCAACATCAGCACAAAAAACTGTGCACCAGGAGCTTCATGGCAGGGTTTCCATGGCCGAGCAGCTGCATGCAAGCCTTACATCACCAAGCACAATGCCAAGCGTCGGATGGAGTGGAGTAAAGCGCCGCCACTGGACTCTGGAGCAGTGGAAACGCATTCTGTGGAGTAACTAATCACACTTTTCTATCTGTCGGTCTGATGGACGAGTCTGGGTTTGGTGAATGCCAGGAGAACGTTACCTGCCTGACTGCACTGTACCAACTGTAAAGTTTGGTGGAGGAGGGATGATGATATGGGGTTGTTTGTCAGGGGTTGGTCTAGAACCCTTAGTTCCAGTGAAGGGAAATCTTAATGCCTCAGCACCAAGACATTTTGGACAACTGTACACTTCTAACTTTGTGGGAACAGTTTTGGGGAAGAACCTTCTCTGTTCCAGTATGACTGAGACCCCAGCGAGCTCCATTAAGGCCTGGCTGGGTGAGTTTGCAGTGGAAGAACTTGACTGGCCCTCACAGAGTCCTGACCTCAACCCCATCAAACACCTTTGGGATGAACTAGAATGGAGATTGTGAGCCAGACCCTCTCATTCAACATCAGTGTCTGACCTCACAAATGCTCTTCTGGATGAACGGGCAAAAATTCCCACATTCACTCTCCACAATCTTGTAGAAAGCTTCCCAGAAGAGTGGATGCTGTTACAGCTGCAAAGGGGGGACCAACTATATACTGGTATAATGTGTAGGTGACCCAATATTTTTGTCCATATAGTGAATATACCTTTATTTGTTGTGAAGCAGTTACACTATTTAATTCACTCTGTTAGTGCTGAGTAGGTGTGCACTGTAGGTACAGCATACATTTATTCATATGGAATATTCACTCTACACTTGCACCTTGGGACTTTGTGATAATTGATATAGCTAATAATTTATAATAAATAAAATTCCATGGCTGATGTTTCCAAGCAGATCTTGACCTTTCCAACATGGTGGACTTGCAGACGTACCGGACTGAAAACAACAGACAGACAAAAGTGGCATCTATGTATTAATATCTATAGTTGGGCAACACGTTTGATCCAAGTTGGAACTAAACTCTTCTGCCAACTAGATCTCCAGGAGGAGGGTTGGTGACCGCTGGCTCTACAGCAGTGGTCCTTAAACTAGTCCTGAGGGGCTGCATAGATGGTCCACGTTTTTGCTCCCTCTATGTGTTGTGAGATGAGATGAACCAAAATGTGGGGGACCCTGGGGATCAGTTTGAGAACAACTGCTTTACAGCACCAGTTAAATTTCTCATTTCTAGTTTTTTGCTTACTTTTTGAAAAACTGAATCTCACAAAGTTCTCCATGGACACCATACAAACACAGTCATCCACTCACATTTTGCAAAAACACATTCATTCCGAAACATTAAAGCATATTGCTGCAACACATTAAGTATCCAATCAAAACAGGCTGTATGGCAGCTATTAAAGACTTTAGAATTCCCAGTAAAAGCTCTTACCCAGATACTCTGGAGTTCCACAAGGCTCTTTAATGAGTCCATTCTCAAGCTTGGCCAGATGGAAGTCACTGATGACTATTTTGGAGTGCTTCAGGCGGTTGTAATACACCAGATTCTCCAACTGAAATGAGCAACAACAAGAACACAATGTAGAGTTAATGCCTGGATAGAATAACAGGATGTGCCTCTGGAAGAACTCATAGAATTTCTGAACTACTTTCAAATCAGACGTTCCAATTATACCACAGTTAATTCCGTCGCAGTCTGACTTGCTGAGAGGCGTTCTGCTGCATTTGGAAGCGGTAAACTTCACCTGTTTAGTTCACTATCAGAGCACCCAGACAGCAGAGGGCATAACACTTGTTATACAAGGTCCAGCAGCGTGAGCTTCTGGCCACATTAACACATTTCCTAGCCATGGTCTCCCACCAAAATCCAGAGCAATTCGTCTGTGTTTTAAAGAGATCTGTGCCAAAGAGTGTTTTCAAGGCGTTTTGTTTTCAGGTGTAAATCACAAAATCCAACCTTATATTACTTTAATCGCCATCTTGTTCTCTACAACGCACCACTGTTTTGAAGCAGCTGACAAGCTCACTGCAAGTGCTAGCTGGGCTCAAGTTCAGCCTCCGTACTGTGGGGTTAGTTGTTACACAGTGTTACAACTAAAACACCTTTAGTGAACAAAGACAAATAAAGTCAGTTTTGTCTTTTTATTCCATATGTTTACACAGATTTTAAAATAAAAATGAAAACATCTGAAAATGGATTTTCTTCTGCTTTATTAGTATCTTTCAGATGTCAGTATTTTGGTTTTAAATAAGTTTATTAATAAAACTGACATTATCAGCTGATAAAGCTGTAGTTATTCAGAAACAATGTTCCATATTTTACTGATGTGTGCTGTGGTTTTATTTGCTGTTCTTCACAATAAGTCAATCATTGTTTGACACACAGACTCACATCAATTTTCATATATAATTTGATGTGTATCTATCAGTTGCGCTGTCTGTCTGTCTTATAGGTGATAATATGTAATGCAGTTCGTTTGGAAAGTATATTTATTTCTTACTACATAGAATTATATTGAATGAACTTTGTTCGCATTGATTAATCAGACTTTTCCAACAGGTGTTTAACAGACCCTCTGTCTGTTATATTGAACCCATCAAAGGGCTAAACTGTAACACTTCACTTCCTGTCATTTCGGTGGAATTGTACATGAACAGTAGCTGCTAGAAACCTAGTTCATATGTTGGTTTGTAGCAGAGATGTATATGTCGCTTGTTTGAAAGCATGATTATTCCAACTGCCACCATTTTGGACGGCAACTCCCATGCTGTGGCTGTTTGTAATGAGATAATAAAGCCATAACTGATCCAGCAAAGGCAGTAAAACACGTTTTTAAACCTTTTTAATTTTTTTTAAAGCATATTAGTATTCGAGTGTACTAACTTGATTTCATTTGATTTGTTGTTGTAGTGATGACAGACAAAAGCTATAATCTAAACGGCTGTAATTCCCTGGCACGTAGTGTTTTCTGGAGATGAATCTAAAGTATCTACATGTTGTTAAATCTTTTTAGTGGTCATTCTGGTCTATTTTGGTTGGTTTTTATCCTCTTGCATGGTTGTAAGTGCAGTAAAGGCGATGAGACGAGCTCAATCAGAGCACAGTCAGAGTCACAACTTGCCTACCAAATTGGCGACGTGGTCTTCTTAATGACGCAATCGAATACTATGAACATTTGATGGCAGAAAACGTTCGGTTTGGTCCACTTAGTTGGACAATTGTGTGCATTCAAATGTCATTATAGTCTCAAAAATAAAAATAAATAGCAACAATGAAATGTATTTCATAGTCATGACCACCACAGGGCAGTGTGCTGTTTACCTTCAGGTTGCGGTGGACGATGTTGAGGGAGTGCAGATACGCCACTGCCTCCATCACCTGTCGGATCACATTGCTGGTGTCCTTCTCTGAGTAGTAGCCCTGGTCCAGAATCCAGTCAAACACCTCTCTCCCTGTAGCACTGCAAATAAATCAGACATCACAAACATAAAATGCTACAGGGTAAACTTTTTGAGCATGTAGCACAGGTGCTGGAAAAGCTGCAAGTGCTGTAGCACCAATTTAAATATCGTAGAACTAAAATAAAACACACAGTAATTCTTCTCAGAAGTAATAAACCTGATTAGTGGAACAGGTTGTCACTGTACCTGTGACAAAAACAGAAGCAGCAAATAATAGATTTGATTGTTAATATTCATTTTTTCTGAAATATACAGTTTTTTTTTTACACCACAATAATTCATATTCCTCATAAGGGGGCGCTAACAGCACCGAAGTAGCATTTCGTGTAGAGACCCATTGGCAGTTAGATGCCTTTTTTTTGCTTTGGGTCTCAAGTCTTTCTGAGTCATGAGGCTCAAGTCCAAGTTAAAGTCCGAGTCATTAGTGTTCGAGTCAAAGTCGAGTCGCAAGTCTTTCTCGATTTTGTTGAGCCAAGTCTTAAGTCATCAAACTCGTGACTTGAGTCTATCATTCGCAGCACTGGAGTAACACTGACGTGGTGGCGGTGTGTTAGTGTGTGTTGCGCTGGTCTGAGTGGATCAGACACAGCAGTGCTGCTGGAGTTTTTAAACACCTCAGTGTCGCTGCTGGACTGAGAACCAAAAATATCCAGCCAACAGCGTCTTGAGGGTGGCATCCTGTGACCACCTATAAAGGAATAGAGGATGACCAACTTTTTGAGCATGTAGCACAGGTGCTGGAAAAGCTGCAAGAGTTTTAGCAGAAATTTAAATATTGTAGAGCTAAAATTAACTATAGTAATTCCTCTCAAACGCATTAAACCTAATTAGTGGAACAGCTTTTCACTGTACCTGGAAAAAACAAAAGCAGCAAATAAAAGATTCGAATATTAATGTTCATTTTCTGAAATATACAGTTTGTTTCCCCACTATAATTCATATTCCTCACAAGGTGGTCGCTAATAGCACCCAAGTAGCATTTTGTGCATCAAAGACATGAAACCCAAGCAGGAACCCACTCCAGCAGGATCGCATATGATTGCTGTCAGATTCCAAAATGGAAAGCAAAACAGTTGAATGTTATTCAGTATAGCTCAATGTTACTTAATGGGTTTAATGACTTTTTTCTATGTTACTTTCTCTTTTCTTCACATGTCCTATGTTACCTTCTATATTTAAATGTTGAAAATTAAATATCAAAAATTCTGAATATTTATCTGCTGATGCAGCAAGGACAGCATGGGATGGACCAGCCTCTGAATCCAAAGACAATCCCAAATCATGGCTGCATTTACATATAACACTACTGCCACAGGCTTAACAACGTCCAGGCGTTTTGGAAATAGTGCCTTTGTTTTAAGACATTTGAATTCATCCTATAGCGTTTGAATTACTTCTTGGACTACAACTATAAACACACTAGCACCTGTAGTTTGCTTGACGACGCTGAGGAGACGGCTTGGGCAGGGGGAACTGTATTGTAATTGCACACACTGTGTAATAAGAACAATTAATGAACTGCCTAATTGACTACAAACACTAAGAGCACAAATATTTGAATGGATATTTCATTATGTACAGCTTGTATCTGCACTCACTGTCCATTTTATCAATCCCACTGACCACGCAGGTGCACTTTGTAGTTCTACAATGACAGACTGTAGTCCATCTGTTTCTCTGCATACTTTGTTACTCTGTTCTTCAGTGGTCAGGACCCTCACAGGACCCCCACAGAGCAGATATAATTTCGGTGGTGGGTCATTTTCAGCAGCGACACTGACGTAGTGGTGGTTTGTTAGTGTGTGTTGTGCTGGTCTGAGTGGATCAGACACAGCAGTGCTGCTGGAGTTTTTAAACACCTCAGTCTCACTGCTGGACTGAGAATAGTCCACCAACCAAAAATATCCAACCAACAGTGTCCTGTGGGCAGTGTCCTGTGACCACTGATGAAGGACTAGAGGATGACCAACACAAACTGTGCAGCAGCAGATGAGCTATCGTCTCTGACTGTACATCTACAAGGTGGACTGACAAGGTAGGAGTGTCTAATAGAGTGGACAGTGAGTGGACACTGTTTAAAAACTCCAGCAGCACTGCTGTGTCTGATCCTCTCAGACCAGCACAGCACACACTAACACACCACCACCACGTCAGTGTTCCACCACCCAAATAATACCTGCTCTGTGGGGGTCCATGGGGGTCCTGACCACTGAAGAACGGGGTAACAAAGTATGCAGAGAAACAGATGGACTACAGTCTGTAATTGTAGAACTACAAAGTGCTCCTATATGGTCAGTGGAGCTGATAAAATGGAGACGTCAGCGTTTACACCTCTAGGGGTCTTTGCGTGAGGCAGCTACGAGACAATAACATGAATAAGCCTCTTACATATTGTTTCATGAGCCTGGCTGTGCTTTGTAGTTTCAAGGTTATCAGTCCACCAATGATCTTTCATCTTTCATCTCAGACGTGCATGTCTTCCTTTTAAGATTAGCACGCTAATGGATCTGTCAGGCTAAGCTCATTTCAAAGGTTCCCAGCTAGCTAAGAAAAAGTAACACAAGTAAGTGCTGGTGCTTTTTTAAGTGTGAGGCAACACAATATGGCAAAAGTAATGAAAATAAGGTGTGTTAGAAATACAGAGCCATATTAATTCTAAATTATGCAAACATAACTGCAGGATTGGCACCTTCAAAGACTCTGTTTGATCATTGTTCAGGAGATACAGACACAGCAGAGGAGACAGAGAGAAAAAAACACAACATTAAAGGAATCCAGAGGTGGGAAAGTAACGAATGCAAATCCGAACCCGAACAGACAGAAGAGAACAGGAGGCAGTCAGACGGAAGCGTCTCGTGAATGAGAGAGAAGTGGCACTGAGAGTGAGAGATCAGTTCAGGGTCTCTATCTGTCACAGCCTCAGGACACATCTGCTCAAACCCCTCAGGCCCTGCCTCAGCACTGCAGGCTCAGCCGGGGGGAACGCGACCACTTACAGTTCAAGGAAGAGGAAGTACTCTTTTCTGGTCTCGTAAACGTCCACCAGCTGGAGGATGTTGGGGTGTTTGACCCTGAAAGCAAACAGAAAAGGGAATGAAGTACACTGAAACCGAAAATAAAGTTTTCTTGAGTTGAAATTGAGGCCCATCAAAAGTTTGAGAACACCTAGCATTCCAAAATGAGGCCTTCAACACTTTAAGGGTTCTTAGTAAAGAAAATGGCTCCATATAGAACCATCAACACTCAAAAAAACCCTTTGCATGATTAAAGGGTTCTTTGCATCATGAAAGGGTTCTTGCTGTAGATGGTTCTATATAGAACCTTTTTGAAAAGGGTTCTATATAGCACCAAAACGGTTCTTCTGTCAAGCTTGTAACAACAGAAGAACCCTTCTGGGTAAACATCACGAGCTTCAAATGTCAGAGTTTAAACTGGTGCTGCCATCAGTAGTGTTTTAACCCAACACAGGAAAGTCAATGTACACCACTGTTAGCTTGGTGCTAACTTAATATTGCAGATCCAATAGAATGCTAGCAGCAAACAGCATTACTGTAGTGATGATAATCGGACAAACAAAGACTACTTTCAAAGTGAAGGTTTCTAAGGGTTAATGTGGAGCAAATAACGATGATGGCTCTCTGCCTCTCACTCTCATGCACCACAGTAACTTCACGCAAATCCAATTGAATACATTACAAATACATAGAGAACCATGTGAGTCCAGTCAGAGTGAGATGAGCAGCAGTGAGCAGTGCTTGTGTTTTTAATTGCTTTAAAATGATGTCAGACTCAGGAAAACGTCCTTCACATGTCCTTATTAAAGAAGGCCGAGAGGAAGACGTCGTGTTCTGAGACACATAAGCTGGACGTCCGTCCCACCGCCGTCTTTTAAAGATCAGAGCATAAACTTCGTCTCCTCTGCAGACCAGTTTCTGCTCCGCCATGTTGAACGGTATAAACCTGTCGCTATGACGTGACGACACATGATCAGAACGGACTTAGACTTTCTGATTGGGAATGTAATCAGACACAGGCTTTTACACTGTTATTATTCTTCTATTTAACAGATTATTTACAGGATTACCCACCTCGATCAATCGGATAGAAATTGTTTTCTGAATGGCCTCAATCAGACTAGACTATTCCAATTGTTAGAGGGCGTTCAGGGAAGGGGCCTGATGGGTACTTGGTTTGCTGTGATGTAATTTAAAGTGAGAGCGCAGGTTAAGGAAAGCACACTGTAGTAATAACTTGGGGGCTGGACAGCTTGTTTGGGGCATTTGAATATTCAGGACTTAAGTCCTAAATGTCCAGCCCCAACAACAAACATGGTGAGAAATTAAATATTAGAAATGCAATGAAGTAAATAAACTTAGTCTCACTTTACTGACTGACTTCACTGGCACTGATAATATAACATGTTATTAACACTATATATAATGCATTTATAGTGCATGTCAACAATTCACAATGTGTAATAAACATGGCTATAAAGTGTCATTCATTTTTATAATGGGTTCATTATAACATTTTACTAACACTATTTATAATAAATAATTTTAACAATTCATAATGCATAATAAACATGGCTATAAAGTGTCATTCATTTTTATAATGAGTTCATTATAACATTTTATTAACACTATTTATAATAAATAATTTTAACAATTCATAATGCATAATAAACATGGCTATAAAGTGTAATTCACATTTATAAATATTTTTAGGCATACCTAAAATGCCTTATGAATGCATTATAACATGTTATTAACACTATTTATAATTAACAATGTTAACAATTCATAATGGATAATAAACATAGCTATACAGTGTAATTAATTTGCATAAATATTTATAGTCATGTTTATAATGCCTTACGAATGCATTATAACATGTTATTAACACTATAATGAATAATGTGAACAATTCATAATGCTTGATAAACATGGCTATAAAGTGCAATCAATTTACATGTTATGAATGTGCTTATGGATGTTCATAGACATGGTATTCACAGAAAGCGTTACAAACCTTAAACACTATTCAGAAAAAAATAATAGGCAAGGTGTCCTAAAACCATTAAGAGCATCATATGTTATGTTTGGATTAAGAATGTATGCATAAAATATTTACCAGCCAGCATTTAATAAAAGTGGCACAAATCTGCATTTTGCCACAAAAGCTACTGACCAGATGGAACAGGAAGAGTCTGTCAGCTAAAACAGCCACTTAAAATAAATTTTGCTTGCATTATCAAGATCAGATTCTAGTAGCAAATTCTGTCCTCCTTCCTATCAGTAGACATAAAAATGTACAGGATTTAACATGCAGATGTAACGGCTTTTGTAATAGCAGTGTTAAATAGTACAGCATAATAGCATTAATAACTCTACACTTCTAAGAGTTTCATTCTCTCGGGTAGCTGGTCAAAGTCGTTGCCTCGTGTGAGGAGCCTGAGGTAGCGTCTTATGCTTGAGGGGTTTAAGGCAGGCTGCTGTGTGAGAGAGTAAGCCGATTTCATGCCTCAGGATGGTGACAGGTGCTAATTTGAAAATATACAGAGAGGTGAACTCACAGAGAAGCACTACTCAAATGTCTTCGCCTCCAAAGCTAATTCCTATGCAGGGCTGGGTGAGCCATGTGAATATGAAGGTGGTCTTTTACACTAATTCAGGGTCATTCTGTAATCCAAACCCTCATCTCAGACCATCCACGTCCAGCAACTGGGTTAAGTATGATAAGGAATTGATGAAATTAATTGTGATTGTACCTTAGAAGAACATCCAACAGTAGCCATCTGATTTGTTGTTTAGTTATATGTTATTTCCATGCAGGGTAGTGGGGTACCCAATCAAAATTCTTGTGGCTGGTGCCACCACAGCTGAGATTAATAACCGATCAACACATTGATTTATCAGTCTACTCAGGCTTTAGCAGAGCTCAGTAACACTGAGATTAATAACTGATCACATTGATTTATCAGTCTACTCAGGCTTTAGCAGAGCTCAGTAACACTGAGATTAATAACTGATCACATTGATTTATCAGTCTACTCAGGCTTTAGCAGAGCTCAGTAACACTGAGATCAATAACTGATGGTTTTCACAAAAATCACAAAATCTTTTGTTTCAATAAAAGTGAGATAATTCAGTTTTCCATGAAATGGGCCCTTTAATGTTTTAAATCTTTAATCGTTTAATGCTTTTAAGTTAATGTAACGAGATTTTATTTGCATCATTTCTGGAGTGTTTAAATGGTGTTTGAATATACAAAACAAACAAAAAAGTTACAAGACAGTCACATCCTGCTGCTTCAGACTCTCAGTCATTACAGAATAATCAGAATGAAAGCCAGCAGAGAGCAGCTTTAGGCCTATTGTAAAGGACTGTACACAACAAGGCAGACAATGCAGTGAGGCGGCAATGAATCTGAGCCTCAACTGCTGTCAGTTTGCAGTACAATGAGGTCCTTACACTTCATCATAGAAATGATTTAAACACTTGTGCTCTTCTCTTTTCTCTATTCTCACCATCCTGCCTATTCAAACTGCTGCCTCTGCGAGAAAGCAAGCCCAGAAAGCTGAGACCGTCTATGCACAACTATAAAGCTTTCAAAAATACGCCGTTTGAGGGTTTTTTGCCTCTTCAAGTGGAGTTTAAACAACCTTTTTTTTCAAAAAGAGAAGCGGCTGTGGATCCTAAAATACACTCTGTAATTAAAAAAACAGACAACGTGCGTCTGGAACTCACATCTTCAGAATGAAAATCTCATTTTTCGCAGCCTTCCGCACTTTCCTCCCATCCTTCTTCAGGAACTTTTTGCAGGTGTACATTTTCGATGTGGTCTTGTCCTTCGCTCGGAAGATCTCGCAGAACTCTTCCCTTTGAGAAGAGCAAAATGTCAGAGGCTACGTTCACATTACCAGGCTGAAGTGGCACAAATCTGATTTTTGGCCCTAATGTGACTCAGATCTGATGTTTTCAGGGCTGTCAACATACAAATCTGACCTTTTCAGATCCGACTTGAGCCACTTTGGCTACGTTCACATTGCAAAGCCGATTTTTTGCTTGAATCTGATCTCTCTGACACGATGGTTCACACTCGTTTAGGTGATTCAAATCTGTCATTAATGTGATGAACCGGCGTCCTGAAATGACCCTCATGAGCACATCCTACTCAGTAACGTCACGTGAATGAATCACATGCATCATCAGCACAAACTAACGAGCAGAACGAGCTTCGCTGAGATCATTAACTCTGATCAGCTCTCAGCTTCATTATTAGAGCGAGACGAAGGAGAAAAAGGTGAGATGAGCTGCTTTTCCACCATTTACAGGCTTTAACGTCTGTTTGGTGCTGTTGCCATGGTAACGCTGAATGATGGCGCACGCGCAGTGGAAAAAAAGCACATGAATTCTGATCTGAGCATCACATTAAGGTTGCATGGCCATGAATCGGCTAAGTATCTGATCTAGGACCACATATGAAACTGGCTCAAGATCAGATTTGCTTTTCCACACAGCTTGGAAAACATCAGATCTGAGTCACATTAGGGCAAAAAATCGGATTTGCATCACTTCAACCTGGTAACTTGAACGTAACCTTTCATATGTGGTCGTAGATCAGATATGTATCCGATTCGTGGCCATGCGACCTTCATGTGAACACTCAGATCAGAATTCATGTGCTTTTTCTCCACTGCGTGTGCACCATCATTCAGTGTTACCATGGCAGCAGCGCCGAACAGAAGCAGCGCTCTAATAATGAACAGCTGAGAGCTGATCAGACTTAATTATGTTCCCAGATAAGAATGTCAGACTTTTCAGAATTTATGCTACCCACTTTAGGATAATGTCCATATATAAAGTAGGTGGTTAACTATTTTTACTACTCAAAAATTTCCATTTTTAAAAGAATATTTGCATGTCCTGCATATTATTATCATTATAAGTAAGACGCAAAACTGGACATTCATCTACTGCATGCAGCTAGCATAAGAAGTGACCCATAACTGGTCGATTTAATGATTTCTCTCTGTGTTGTGTTGATTTTCTGAGTCTGTCATCTATGGGAAACTTAAATACGGCAATATTTATGCAAATTCAACTGCACAATTTCTACTTATCTGCTGAACATATTGGAAAAAATAAAACATAAAATATAAAATGTGCCATAACTTTTGCACAGGCCAGACTTTATGTTTTATTTCTTCCCCCAATATGATAAATTTAGCAAATAGACATTAACTGTGCATTAAAATATAATATCAAACACATTTGAATACTTTAGGATTCATTTGTTATGTCAGTATTTGGCCTCTTTTCTGCTGTAGGGCTGAAACTGAAAAGCAATCAAATAAGTTCATCTCTCTGACACGGTGGCCGAAATAATGAAAACAGAAACATGTAAACATTCCATCACTGATAAATGCCAAACCATCCATCTAGCAACAATTGCTAAATGTTAATCGGTGCTGCTAACTAGGAGAGAGGAGCTGCTTAGCATTAGCTTAGCTGGCACACTACCAACTCTGCTGACCACAGAACAGGGAGAGTCTGGCTAACAGAAGCTACACTGACGCATGTTTAGATGATAGTGACTCAGATCTGAGGGACTGAGGTCAAAGTTGGAGGGAAAGAAAGCAAAAATTAAACCTGTTCTGCTGTGTTTGGATCCGTGGCCTGCTAGCTAGGCTAATGCTAGCCAGTCTCTTCAAGCCAAGCTTGTTTAGCTAGTGGGCTACGGATCCACAGGGACAGGTTTGTATTTAATATTTAATATTTAATTCTTTATTTTTTATTTAATATTTCTCTGTGTTATGAAAACAGTGCTTACGATTTAACGATCTGTCCCAGGTCATATCTGTCTGTGATCTCTGTAGGACTGTTATAGTCCTTCTTCTCCCCCAGAGTTAAACAGCCAAACGGCATCCTCCTGCAGAGAGGGAGAGAGAGAGAGAGAGAGAGAGGGAGAGAGAGAGAGAGAGAGAGAGAGAGAGAGAGAGAGAGAGAGAGAGACAGAGACAGAGAGACAGAGTTAAAAAGAGGAGAGACAGAGAACGAGAGAGGGTGAGAGAGAGAGAGTGAGAGAGAGAGAGAGAGAGAGAGAGAGAGAGTTAAAAAGAGGAGAGACAGAGAATGAGAGAGGGTGAGAGAGAGAGTGAGAGAGAGAGAGAGAGAGAGAGAGACAGACAGAGAGAGAGGGAGAGAGAGATTTAAAAGAGGAGAGAGAGTGAGAGAGAGATAGCGAAAGAGAGTGAGAGAGAGAGAGGTAAAAATGAGAGAGAGAGAGTGAGAGAGAGAGAAGTGAGAAAGAGGGTGACACAGAGAGAGAGAGAGAGAGAGAGAGAGAGAGAGAGAGAGAGTTAAAAGAGGAGAGAAAGAAGAGAGAAAGAGAGGGAGAGAGAAGAGATTAGAAGAGAGAGAGAGAAAGATAGAGTGAGAAAGAGAGAGTGAGAAAAGAAAGAGCAGGAGAGAGAAGAGAGAGAAGAGAGAGGGAGGGATAGAGGGAAAGAGAGAGAGAGAGAGAGAGAGAGAGAGAGAGGAGAAGAGAGTGAGAGAGAAAAGCATGAGAGAGAGAAGAGTGAGAAAGGGGAGAGAAGAGAGAGAAGAGAACAGATAGAAAGAGATAGAGAGAGAAAAAGAGAGAGAGTGTGTGTGAGAGAGTGAGACAGAGACAAAGAAAGAGATAAAGGAAAAAGGGATAAAACAGAGAGAAAGAGTGCGAAAGAGGACAACGAGAGAAAGAAAATAGAGAGACGAGGAGGAGAGACAGAAAAGAAAAAAGAGGTGGAGAGAAAGAAAGGAAAAGAGGTATAAATAGACAGTAGAGTGAAAAAAGATAAAGAGAAAAGACAGATTGAACGGGAGAGAAAGAAAAAGGAACAGAAACAGAGAAAGAAAGAGGTGCATAGAAGGAGGCAGTGAGACAGAGGGAAAATGAGGCGAGAGAAACAGAGGAGGCAGAAGGGAGGAGAGGAGAAAAGAGAAAGACGTATTAAACTTGTTATATTCAGATATTCCGATGTAAATTCAGAATCAGAGCTGGAGTCTAATCCTGCCCGCAGAGCCTCTGTGGGTTTTACCTGAATAAATAAACGGAATAAAATTCACATTATACAGTAAAATCCATCATTCTGAATTATTTCAACACTCAACGCCACTCAGATCTCGTTCTGCAGGATCTTTTCAGGTTCCGCCGGGAAATAAACGCGGTGCGCGAGCAGTGTTTACTCGTCCTTTCCTACACAAGCAGATCAGATTCAGAGCGCTGTAACAGCGTCTGCGCTGCCGGGGAATCAAACTCACCGGCAGATCTAATTTACAACTAAATGACTGGAGATGGAGGCAGAGGCGCTGTTTGACTCGCAGCAGCAGAGTCGGAGAACGAGTGAGTCAGAACTCGGGGGAACGAGAGAGCGAGGGAGATGGAAAGAGAAGAGGAAACAGCAGGAAGACCGAGAGTAAAAACGACAGACAAGGAAAAGATGTACACGTTTATAGAGAGATAGATTAGAGCTAGTAATGCTTTCTTTTACACTCCTTCACGTTCTAGATATCAACCAAATAGTGTGAGGTACTAACTCCACAGTACTAGGTAACTATTTTGGTAACATGATGGCAAGTTCAGAGAGTAAATTACACTTACAGGAGATGGTTCTTCAAGGGTTCTTTAGTAAAGGCAATGGTTCTACTTAGAACCATGAGTTCTATATAGAACCTTTCCATGCTTAAATCGTTCTTTGCATGGTGACATAGTTCTTCAGATTGATAGAGAATGTGTTGTATATCATTCCATAGGAAAAATGTTTTAAAGGTTGGTTCTTCAGGGGTTCTTTAGTAAAGGGAACGGTTACATTTAGAACTTACATGGTTCTTTGCATGGTGAAATGGTTCTTCAGGTTAATGGAGAACGTGTTGCATAAGGCTCCTTTTTGAAAAGGGTTCTATTTAGCACCAAAAGAGTTCTTACACTGTAGCAAGCTTGACATCTTAACAACAGCAGAACTCTTTCTCGTGCCACATAGAACAATTTTCAAAAAGGTTCTATATAGAACCATATACACCACATTCTCCATCAATCTGAGGAAGCATTTCACCATCCAAAAAACCCTTAAGCATGAAATGGTTCTATACAGAACTCTTGGGTCTAAACGGAACCATTTTCTTTACTAAGTACTCTTAAAGAACCACCTTTTTTTAAGTGTGTAGATATTAACTTTGCATGTGGTACAAACTCCCTAATACTGTCTAATTATTTTGGGATAAAAGTACCAGGTACACAATTAAAAATTATGGTTCTTCAAGGGTCCTTTAGTAAAGAAAATGGTTCTATATAGAACCATAAGAACCCTTTACATAATTAAGGGGTTCTGTGCATCATGAAAAGTTTCCTCATATTCATATTGATGTAGAATGTGCTGTAGATGGTTCTATACAGAACGGTTTTACAAAAAGACTTCTGTATAGCACCAAAAAGGGTTCTGCTACTGTTATGACGTCAAGCATGTAAAAATAGAAGAACCCTTTTGGGTGCTATATAGAACCCTTTTCAAAAAGTTTCTATATAGAACCATCTTTAGCACATTCTCCATTAATCTGAAGAACCCTTTCACGATACAAAGAACGCTTTAATCACGCAAAGGGTTCTTTGAGTGTTCGTGGTTCTACATAGAACCATTTCCTTTATTAAAGAACCCTTAAAGAACCATCATTTTTAAGCTTGCAGTTATAAAGCATAAAGATTTTACATGAAAGTGGAGAGTTTTATAAAGTATGTAGCTGTTTATTACCTATAAACAAAACAAAGCAATGATTCTTACTGCGGTTTTACTGGGTTCTACTTGGAGTTCTATGCAAGAATTAAATGTTTTGTTGATTTTCTAAGTTAAAACAACACATCTACTACAGAGATGTGCTTAAGTATGGAATGTGTCTGTAATTTTTGCAAAATTTGCTCACAATTACATTTTTTTGGAAAGAAAATAAAATATAAAACGTGCCATAACTGTTGGTTGATTAACCTGGTTCAACTAAGTGGCGTACAGTCAAATCTGATCGTAAAAATGAGTGCATGCAAATTTCACGTCTTTCATCTAGTAAATAACAACAAACTAATAATTTGTGCACATCCAATACAAACGTTTATGTACTTATTTTACCTGCACACTAGTATAAACAAGTGCTGCAACTATTCCTTGTTCCATTTAAAGCCTTATTACACTGTGCCTTTGTTTTATTCTACTGACTCCGCCCACAAAATAAACAACACAAAAACACAGCCAGTGTAGCAGCCTTTCATCCATTGCAATAATACAGGGTTTAAATATGTTATTTTAGAAAAATCATAAAAACAACTATGTGTTCTATTCTTTCCAGTTGTCATAATTTTAACAATATAAAGTTTGGTCAGTAGGGGGAGCAGTGCACGTGACCTCAATCTTCGCCTATGAGCACAGCCATTGGCCAACAAGCCACTAAATGCTGTCATATTATTAGTTCCCTACTGAAACATCCGCATGAATTAGGACGTGCTTCATGCAAATGATATGTAAATGAGGTGCTGGCTGGCTGGCGCTTGATTTCACGCACTGAAGCTGATTCATCATTTGTGCTCAAATCTCCACTTGCTTCCATTTAGTAAGAAACTCATGAATCATACGCAGAGCGGCTGGTACGTTATTAAAGATGGTAAAATATGCACTTTTTCACACAGTGTTGATCAATAAGGGCTTTATGGGGGATTTATGGAAAATTTGCTGTCAAAAATATCTCAAATAAACCTGGTTTATTTTCAACAGCCATCTCGTGACTCCAGGTTGACAACCAGTGTTTTATATCAGCATGAGCTTTTGGGATAATATTTATGGGAGCCCACATATGGATTATTGTATACTGTTACTGTTATATTGAAAAAAAATATGTATTAAATTTGAACATATTTGAATATTTCACAAACAAACGAGCAAAATTCAAGTGTAATTTTTGGGCCCTCTTGACAGGCCTTGCCAGTATGGTACATTTTCAGTTTGCAAAAAGTTAGATTCAACCCTGCATCTGTCTGAATGCGCTGAGGGTTTATCTGAAATATATTTCAGCAAAATAGTTTTACTGATGACACGTCAACATTTATTTTCTGTTATCTGCTTTCTCTCCTTTGGCTGTTTCGCTACTACACACTTCTACACAATGCAGAAAAACTGAGATATCTAATGTATGAAATTGAGAGAAGAGCTGGCAGCGATCACAGATAAACAAATTCATCAAAGCATCACGACTGATATACACAAATCCATCACAGTAGGACGTGATCGTTGTGATGCACTGGAGATGCCTGTCGGAATCTAACTACAGTGGCAGTTTGAAGATAAGTTTTAGAATTTAAACAAGCTGCAGTAAAAGCAAAGCTCAGCACAATGGAGGCCAAACCTACAGCTTAGATTTGGGTTTGAACCCCAGCTGTGGCATACGCTCTCTGTCATCGCTCTGTCATTATTGTATGATGCAGTACAGAAGCGCATCTGTTTGGCTGTTTTTAATTGCCAGCATTGAGTAATTTACCACTCCTTAAGAAGGTTTTCATCCATCAACAAAGCAGGACCACTTTAGTGTTAATGACAGAAATTCATAATATAAACATTCTTACAGAGAATATAACTACATGCTTGTAACTGACCTTCTATGCACGTTTAGCATCAACACGCTTGCATTTAAACTGCAAGTTTTGTAATGATATTCTTATTTCATTGTTATACTTTGGATGGAAACAGAAGGGTTAAAATCTTGGTATCTAGTATGTTGGTGAACCCCATGTCCAGTAAAGTTGGGACAATTAAAATGCAATAAAAACAAAAACTGTGATTCTCTTGAACCTTTATTTAACTGATAAAAGTAAAAAAACGTTTTAGCTAACCAACTTACTTGTATTTTGTAAAT